GAGNTTCACGTCTCTTCTACATCAACATGTGTCCCCTCTGTGGAAAGAGACTCTGAAAGTTTCAGGAACAAAGATTCTCTCTCTAGAAATGGATCAGGACAAAAAGAGAGAGAATCTTTGTTCCTGAAACTTTCAGAGTCTCTTTCCACAGAGGGGACACATGTTGATGTAGAAGAGACGTGAACAAGTGGGTTTTGCATAATAGGTGACCTTTAAGACATGAACTCGTTACCTTTGGGGATGTAGGAGGAGGAGGAGGAGGGGCTTTGTGAAGCTGCTGCTGCCGCCATCATCCAGGCGGGTAAAACTCTTGTCCTGGTTACAGACGGAGAGACGACATTTTGTTTGTCTTCTTCTTCTTCTTTTGGTTGTGCAGAATCTCCCTTTATAGAGGGAAAACAGAAAGCACTTAACATCAGTGAACAGTGTGTTTATCATCAGAGACTGAAAACTATCTGAAAACATTGATCTCATAGTCATTAAAGATTCTCTAGAAAAATGTGATTCCTTCTTTCCACACAAATGATCTTTAGTGGAGCACAGCAGAGCTTTGGTCCGTCATTATAAACAATGTGACCTGCAGACCAAAGCCACAGTTAGTCTCAGTTTAAGACAAGTAGGAATAGAAATAGAGAGCAGAGATGACAGATGTTGTTAGCGTCACAGTTAATCCGTGTATTTTGACAACCTCAGTGTCTGAACTCTTTTAAGATATTACACTAAAACTGTTTTTGTTCCGCTATGAGCATTTCTAGTTGAACATCTTGGAACTTTTCAGAAATCCCTGGTTATTTCACTCTAGGAAATGGAGGAGAAGTTTGTTTTGGCCGTAGTTGTCTATAATTTTCCTCTAATGCTGCGGCTAAGTGTTGTTCTTTCATCCCCACAACACAACACAGCGACTACATGTTGTGGTTTTGACAAAATAAAAAGGCTGTTTTATTATTCCCTCTCCTTCAGATACACTTTAGGATCTAGATGTCTCTCTCCCCCTCACTTTCAAAAACCATTTGCTCATCCTCTCCATTAGCTAGATGTTTTATTCAATTAAAATGTAAGAAATGTAATCGTTCATCATAAAAGCAATTGATCAAAGACTTGATGAGGAACATCTAACAGTTGCACCCTTAACTGATTCATTAAGGAATATAAAGCAAACCTGGGACCTGTTTGTTTACTTCTGGAACATGATTTTAATATATTTATTGGCTATAATTGAAATGAATTTCTTGTTCCGTTCCAATTCTACTTGTTTTCCTTACATATACTTACCTTGAGATGGTAGCATATGTTCATGTCTTGTCTGACAAATGGTATAACATCTCTATAAATTAAGCATTACAAAAATATAGACAATTTCTAAACTTCCTGTTCTGCTAAAGACTTTGATGTGATTTGAACAAACCTTTGTTAAACTTCTTTTGTCGACTTCCTGCTGTTCTGACGGAGCTGCTGGTGTCGACTCCTCCTGAGGAAGAGACTGTCCAACAGCAGGAGGGGGTTCAACATCTGGCTCAGGAGAAACAAGACGCTCCTCCTCTTCTTCTTTTTCTGCTTCTTCAAACATCTGACTGTTCCTACGGGAAGAAAACAATCATTTAAATCAAACATTCATCCTCATGTTTGTGAATGTAACAATCTGAATGAATGACACTAAGGAGACTAGTTTAAAGAGTCCCTATTTTGCTTCATGGGGGTTTTCCTTTTTCCTTCTGGTAGTGTGTTGTATAGGTTGTTGTGCATGTAAATGGTCTGCAATGGTTTCTCTCCCCTCCCCCCCCTGCCTGAAACACCTCGATTGGACTCCTTTCTTTACTTCAGGAACAAAGTGACATCAATTTGTAACACTTGTGCTTCTATTGGCTAGCGCTCCAACACATTGTAAGTCATAGGCTAAGGGACGGGACATCTCTTTGCGGTTGACCAATCACAACAGAGCCGGCCAGCTAACCAATCAGAGCAGACTGGGTTTGGGTTTCAGACAGAGTGACCTTATATAACCTTTATACACTGAGGTGCTGTATATATTTGTGTGTTTGTGTAAAAGTGTGTGTTAATGTGTCCTGGAGAGAGGGTTGGTTTTGTTTTGTCCTTTTGTCTTTGAATATACACAGTATATGTTGTAAATGTATCTCAGTATGTACTTCTTGTTTCAGCTGTCAAATGAAAATCAATAAACTGGTTTGTGGCCAATTCAATGACATTCAGCCTGAGCAATTAAGCTTGAAGTCCACTTTTAAAACTTTTTAACAACTAACGGAGATTTTCTTGAGAAAAAGGATGATGTGAAATGAGAGCCTTAATGCTGTTGCTCTGAAACAACCTTCAGTTTCTCATGAATTTAAGATGAGGCTGGTCTGAACAGCGCTGACATCTTCTGGAGTGTCTTCTTCCTGTGTGTTTGATCTAAACTTCAAACAGAGATCTTCAGGACAACATGGGGGAAGGTACCTCATAGATAAAAGACTGCAAAAGCTCAAAGACTGCATGGATCAATCTTCTCCTTAATGCTGGGTTTTAATTTGACTCAACACAAAACACTTGAACTGAACCCCACTCTCTCTGCTGTGCAAAGATAAAAGATAAGAATGTAATCAAGCAGTGAAGAGCGGCCTCCTCCGTCTCCATTTAATTACCCACGAAGACGGGGAAATCGCAGTAAACAAGATTCATCTCTTGACGGTGAAACACAATGTGTTAACATGGAGAGGAGCGTGTTTCAGATGTTTAAGTACCTGGGAGTGCGGTCCCCTCCGCCCACGGCCACCACCCTGTAGATAAACTGACCCGGCATCAGCGAGAATAAATCTCCATCCTGAAGAGGGAACCAGACGTCTCTCTGCAGAGGGCGAGGGTCGTCCGACAGCAACGACTGAACGAAGCACGGGTTCAGGTGGGTCTGAGGGGGGGAAACAGTGAGAGGATGAACCAATGAACTCCAGCCCAGCAGGTTTTCTATCTAAACTAAAACTATTTGAAGGTAAGGAAAGTCCAAATTATGCTTTTGGGGTTTTCCTTTTCCTGTAGTGTGTCATATAGGTTTCTCTCCCACACACTCCCCCCACTGCCTCCATTGGGCTCCTTTGTTTACTTCTGTAACATCACTATGCAACACTCAAGCTCATATTGGCTAGCTCTCCAACACATTGTACGTGATAGGCTAAGGGGCGGGACATCTTTAAGACGTTGACCAATCACAACAGAGTCGACCAGCTAACCAATCGAAGCAGACTGGGCTCTGGTTTCAGACAGAGGGCAAAAAATAAAGAGCTTTTTGAACATTAAAGCATGGAGACATGTCACAGGAGAGACACTTTCAGCTGATCAGGCTTTTAAATACCTCAAAGAAAATTACAATAGTTGCCTTCCTGTTGCACCTATGTTATAACATGTAAAACAAACCTGATGAACTGAAATTCATCTGTATAAGAACATGTATTAAATATAAATAACTTCCAAAATTAATGCTCGGTGAAGAATAGTTTTTTTTCCAGCTTGGGATCAAAAGATCTCATTTATTGATCGACTGATTTCTCCTCACAATTAGAAAACATCTGAAGTGTTGTGACTGTTGAGTGATAACTATTCAACTCACAATTTGAGACGGGTTGATGCATTAACAGCCTCTTAAAGTCAATTCAGGAAATGATAATCAGAAGATGTCGGTGGGATATAACGCTGAATAATCTTTTCTAAACAGACCTTGATGTGAACTCGAACGAATCAATACTTCCTACAAATCTGAGCGTTGAATTTATTTAATGGAAAAAGACACAAAGGCATGTGTTTACAGAAAATAAGTGGCGACTTTTCAGCAATCGTTGACAGCCATTACTGCTGAAACACAAATTCCCTCTTTATGGCAGGGACATTAATCTTCCTTCCATTACGGGGAAGACAGAAAGCAAGTGAAGTGCATTCAGAGATTGTGTGTTTATTTCCTTGAATGAATCAGCAAAATGTGGTCCTTCCTCTACATCTATCTTCCGGATGAAAACCTGTTCATTCTTTTAAGAAAGAAATATGGGAACTTAATCCTAGAAACACCATTGAGTAATAATAATAATGCAATCCAAATAACACCACCAGAAACTAGTGAGCTAAACAGATAAATAAACACGGAAATGTTGTCAACTGGAGCACTAATATTTGTTGACAAATGGATAGTTAAAAAATAATAGCCAGATTTGTTTTCATTCAAAACTGCAGCCTCTCAAATATGGAGATTTCCTGCTTTTCTCTTTTTTATATAACTATTAAATATTATTTTCTGCATCTTAAGACTTCACTTTGTTCTTTGAGAAACTGCTATGGGAGTTATCCAGCATTTTCTGACATTTTATCAACCAAATTAAATTGAATAATCGATTAAATAATCAACAGATTAAAGGTGGGGTAGGTAAGTTTGAGAAACCGGCTCGAGATACACTTTTTTTTATATTCCATGGAATGCTCTTAACATCCCGATAGCAATGAATATCTGAAGTGCTTTGACAATAAATCCATAAAAAAAATTCATCTGTGGAAGCGGTAGTACTGTAAAAAGCACGACCAATCATCTGAGCCGGCCCGGCTAAAATAACTGGATGGCCTACCTGCCTGTCAGCCTTCCATCTGTGCACAAACTTATCTCGTGCCCTCATTGGTCATGTGCGCGTTCGTGTGTGTTGGAGGAGGGGCTCTGTAAGGAAGTCTGAAGGAAGGGGCAGAATCTTTTCGGTTGTGTATTTTCAAATTCTAGCGCACTCGAGCTGGTTTCTCCATTCTTACCTACCCCGCCTTTAAGTAATATTCAGGATGAAATAGAGGATGTACAAAAACGTTACCAATTAGCAAAAAGTTATCCTATTTACATCCATAAGTCCTTTGGGGCAGGTAACAAAAACTGAAAAATAATAAAGGTCCACAATACACCATGTACAACATATACGACATTACAAATTAAAAAGGACAAACTACATTTACTTCTTCTTTTAGAGCCATTTGGAAGATTTTCTTCCCTTTGTTTCTTTGATTTAAAGTTGGAATTTTAAATAGAACCAAT